AGGCCGCGGCGTCGGGACGAGCCTTTGGCACCAGCACCCGTCTGCTGAGTTTGGCTCTGGCTGTGACCAGCTGAACTCACGTTTTCAGTTACAGTCCTTAAAATATTTTAAGAGTTACCAAAAAATACAAGGTTTATGCTACTGTTATTTATAAGAGCAAAAAATTAAAAATAATCTAAGTATCCGACCACATAGAAATAGCTAAGAAATACAATACAACCATTTAAAAGGACAGTTTCAAAGGATTTGAAACTTAGCAGATCATTGCAATATGGCTGTGGGAAAAGCAGGAATCGAAAATACTTTCATAGCCCGGCCGGCGTGGCTCAGCGGCTGAGCATCCACCTGGGATCCAGCAGATCGCGGTTGGATTCGCGGTCGGGGCACACGCCTGGGCTGCAGCCCGATCCCCAGCCCAGTAAGGGGCGTGCAGGAGGCACGGATCCATGACTCTCATCATGGATGTTTCTCTCTCTATCTCTCTCCCTTCCTTTCTCTGAAATCAAAAAAGACTTAAAAAAATACTTTTGTAATAGGATCGCTATATTAAATCAGGCAAATAAAACAAAACCACAATGTACTGAAAACACACTGAAAAAAGTCACTAAAACTTTAACAGTAAAAATTAATTAATAACTATTAGATATATACATGAATAGTACTTTTTAAATGCAGTCACCTTGCCAGGGTCTTTGCCTAATCACCTTGTCTACAATAGTAGCTCTCCCCATCACTCCTTACCCCAATCTTTATTTTTCTTCGTATCACTTCTGAAATGATGATATATTTATGTACATGTTGCTTATTTCCTGTTGCCTCCACCAACACATAGCAAGTGCACGAACTTTGCCTATCCTTTTCACAGCCTCAGAGTGTCTGGCATATAACAGATGCTGAGTAAAAATGTGATGAGTTAATTAATTGAGAAGTTATCCTGTAACACTTCAAATATGATTGAAATTGTAAAAATAATAAGTATACCATTTGGCAAATAAAACATACCATACCTTGTGAAAACTGAAATAATCTCTATTAAGAACCCCCTAAAGCAAGCAATATAACCTCATATAAACCAGATGATTCATCTGACGGTCTAATTCATCTGATGGATGTAGGACTCAAAGGGAAATTAACGATTATCTCCTGTCCATTCTGTAAATTCATAAATCACAAAACATTGCAGCAACTCTGAGATACAGGCATTTGGGATCTGTTCTGCTTCCACATCTTTCTGAAACCAGAGAATCAGTTCTGGTAAGTGATCTCTTCAGACGGAGTTCAGGATTGAAGTGTCCCCCTCCAAACACACACAAACACACACACACACACACACACACACACACACACACACACACACACTTACCATAGGTGGGAGGTCTCCATGGTCTGCAGGTTCAGGAAGTGGCTGGAACAGCAGGGTTCTCTAGTTCCTTGGGGTCACAGACAGACTGAATATCTTAGGACACCCTGGAGCTTAACACAGAGCTCAGACATTCAGCAAGGAGCAGGCTGATTAAAAAATGCCCCCAGGAGAACACTTTGAAGGTAGAAAGCCTCTAATTCCTGAATGTTCTATGATACATATTTTATTTTATTTTTTGGCTCTTCTCAGTTTATTGCATGAAGGAGTTACACTAGTCCAGGTTAAAAGCAGAGCCTAAATGGTTACATTATACAAGCTGTAAGGTTTTTAAACTTGTAACAGCGGACAGAAGGGAAAATTCTATTCATTGCAAGGAAATCCTCACTTTAGCTTCAGTGAACCAAAAGCACTTAAAACCCGTGAACCTTCAGGTGGTCATCCTTAGCCAGTCCAGTCTCTGTGAGGAACTGGCATATGTTCTTGTGCTGGTCACCCTGTAGCTGAATTACTTCTCCATATTCTGGATGCTCAATTACAGTACCATCGCAGACAAATTTCATCTTAAACACCTTCACTAGTTTCTTTTTAGCATAATCATCAGCAATTCCTTGGACAGTAGTAAGGGTCTCCCTGCCGTACCTCTGTTGAATTCTTATATGTATATAATCAATCCTCAGTGCCAGCAGGAAGCAGATCATCACCCTTACTTGCATCAGCAAAGAGGTCGAAAGAGTGCAGGTTCTGGATACTGGACGTACAATAAGATTCCTTTTCCTTGGTGGAAACAGCCAGCCTCCGGAAGACTGCTGAGGGAGAAGGCAGGTGTGGGGGACTGAGGGTCAGGAAGCAAGGGGGCTCAGGGGGCTGAGTCCTCAGCGGGGGCTCAGTTACTGGGGCTGATATGTATTTTATTTTATTATTTTACTTATTTATTTATTTATTTATTTATTTATTTATTTATTTATTTATTTATGGCTCCTGGAGGAATTTTTTTTTTAATGTTTTGTTGCCACTGTAAAATGTTACAATTTTAAAGTAGCTATCTCAACCAAAGAGTCTGCATAACATTTCGGAAATGCTTTCTCTGAGATAGTTTTTAAAAAATTATTATTATTATGATTCAATCCTCACTCCAGGATATATTCCTTCCATTGATTTCTAGAGAGAGTGAAAGGGAGGGAGGGGGAGAGAGAGAGAGGGAGAGAGAGAAACATCGATGTGAGAGACACACATCAATTGTTTGCCTCCCACATGTGCCCCGATGGGGTCTGGAGAGTGAACGCACAATCCAGGTATGTGCCCTTGACTGGGAATCAGACCCGAGGCCCTTTGGTCCAAGGGCTGACACTCTTAAGTACTGAGCCACACCGACCAGGGCTCTCTGAGACAGTTTGAAAGCAGCTGCAGCAATGCTGAAGACAGCTGGCATTTCTGTAGGAAGAGGGGATATGTATTTTAATTTATCAGTATTTTCCTTTAAAGTTTCTGCCTTTGCTATTATGCTTAGAAAAGACCTTTCCTTTCATGCATATTCATGAACATTTTATTCTAGTATTTTATAGCGTCATTTAAATTTTAACATTTAAAAAATGAGATGTTTTTGAAATATGATGTGAAATAAGAATTTAACCCTTTCCCCAAATAGTTAACTAATCAAGATTAACTTATTTGATATTCCTAAGCCATGAAAATTAGAAAAAAAATCTAGAACAGTACTAACAGAAATGTGATGCCAGTGACATGTGTAATTTAAAATTACTGTAGTCACATTTGAAAAGTAAAAAGAAATGGAAATTAATGATGAATTTTATTTAAGCTAATATATTAAAAATATCATTTCAATGTGTAATCAACATCAAAATCATTAATAAATATTCCACATTCTTTTTATTTCTACCGAATCTTCGAAACATGGTATGTATTTTGTACTTACAGCACTTCTCAACTCAGCTTAGCCACATTTCAGCTGCTCAATGGCTTCTGTACCGAAGAGCGCAGGTGCAGAGCGGTGTTTCCCATCCGCAGCGCTACTGACATTTTGGACCTGCTCGGTCTTTGCTGTGGGGAACTGTCCTGTGCTTTGCAGAACGATCTGCTGCATCTCCAACCTCCATCCACTAGATGTCAGTAGCATCCCTACCCTAGTTGTTGCAACCAAAAATGTCTCCAGACTGTCAAATGTCCCCGAGGGTGGGTAAAAGTAGGGCAAATTGTCCCCAGTTGAGAATCAAGGGTCTAGAAAAACTGGGGGAAAAATACATGTCTGGAAAAAAATCTTAGAATCATCCGAGAGAGAATTTTCTGTTTAGAAGCTACTACTACTAGAGTCCCTGAACCATTATAGAAGCACTTACAGTAATTAAAGTCTATCCAATTTCCATGCTATAAATTCACAAAAGGGAGGAGGAGGGGTGACAGGAGGGGAGGGGGTTCAGAATAAGAAAAAGGAGAGGGAGAAGAAGAGAAAAAAGGAGAGAAAGGCTGTTTTCAAATATATCTTTTTGCTTATTTTGGGCCCCTACTCACAAAAATAATATTGACCCACAAATGATGCCTCTTGGTGACTGGCATCAACCTGTAATTATTTCAAAAACTCTGGGACTTTTGATTTTGAAAATAAACTGATGGATGCTTGGGTTGAAACGTGCATCAAACCATGCCTGTGGGTTCCGATAGTGGGAGCACTCAGTGTTGCTCAGTCTTAGAACTGTCTGCTTCCCATAACAGCATCTAATAGCAAAAGTGATGAGCAACAGGCCCCAACCCCCAGGTGGGCTAATCTCTTCCAACAACACTCTTACCAACCAGGACCTCCATAATTGGGAGCCTCAATCAATGATGGTGCTTCTAAAGTATTTCTATTTTTTATATATTAAAAAAAGGCAAGGAATGCATCTAGCTGACAACTATACAAACCCTCATAGACACAGACAACAGTATGGTGGTCACCAGAGGGAAGGGGGTGGTTGGTCATAAGGGTAAAGGGGGCCAAATATGTGGTGACAGAAGAAGATTTGACTTTGGGTGGTGGGCACACAATGCAATATACAGATGATGCATCATAGAATATTACACTTGAAACCTATATAATTTTATTAACAAATGTCACCCCAATAAATTTAATTAAAGAGAAAAAAGTCAAGGAAAGAAAAATTATAGCAGAGATTTATTCATAGAAGGAAAGAAAGGGGGGGGAAGGGAGGAATTAAATCAGGAGGAATACTTCCTGGAATATTCACATTCATCACAACCTTATTCAATCTGATTTACATGTGTCTACACAATACTCAGAATGTTGACCCTTAGATAACTGCAGATCGTGAGCCTTAAAAAATAGGTTATTATTTTCACTCTACTTTATAGTTTTTTTAAGTTTCTTAACGACAAGTGCTAAAAATGAAAGGTTTTTGATTGCCCCTTGGTTAATGAGAGCATTAAACTAACCAGGAGTTTCCACTCCCTAAGTGTTTCTGATTCATCAGGGACTTACTTTAACTGGCTTAGCTCACTTGAAGGTACTGAGAGTCTAGCTGTTGGGCATCTACACTAGGTACCCTGCATGCAGCAGGCAACAACCTGATTATTTCCAAGACCTTTCACGGACAGTTGGGACTACTGGTAGAGAAGGAATCTCTGCAGTGGCTCCGGCAGATGCAGCTCGTGGATGCTCTGATGACATGCTCGACCCAAGCACTTCCGGACACACAGGCGACAGAGCTGGGAAAGAGTAGGTGGGCCTAAGGAAGGAATTAAAACGGTGTGAACCTCAGGCTAGTTGAGGGGTAGAGTGAAGGGGAGACTGGAGGACTGGAAGAGGCTGAAACTTTCTAAAAGATTAAGAGAAGCTGGATGTGTATAGGAATTAGAGAGTGAGGTAGCAAACAGTACACACAGGATTCCGGCTTGCTCCTTGGGCAGGGACATGTTTCTTTAAGTTGAGTCTCCAGTGGTAATTATAGTACCGATATTGAAGAATGAGGCTAACCAGAGGCAAGTTAGGAATGAGGCATGTGGTCTAAAGGGAATGCACTTTATTCGTATACCACATGCGCCAATGGGTGTTATTCGAAGAGAAAACACAAACAGAAGCACTGAACATGCAAGACCCTGAGACAGAACTGCAGAGCAGGAGAGTGTCAGCAGGAAGCCCAGACTATGTGGTCACAGAGACAGTGTCAGGAGATGTGCTGGGGTCCTGGTACTCAGGGTCCTCCCGGATTGCCTGGCTCTAGCTTCCCAGGAGGCGGTGCTGCCTGGGTCCTGACTCACATTTGGAGGGTCTCCCATTCTCACGAGGATCTCAGTTCAATAGAAGATCAGGAGAAAGGACCCAACTCACTTAGACCCCATTATACCCTGAACCTCTATCTCATGGAGTCTCATGGAGTTATCATACCTGTGGCTTTGAGCAGCTTTGAGTCCTAAAGGAAAGTAAACTAATGAGAGTCCAAAATACAGTTGAGTAGGATGAATGAGCTTTGGGCTGGAATACTAGTTATACGGGGGCATTTGTAATGTCCCATTATTTTGTAACCTGACTATCAATAAAGATGTCTTCAGCCCAGCTGGAGTGACTCAGTTGGTTGGAGCTTCCTCCCGTGCACCAAAAGGTTGCTGGTTCGATTCCCAGTCAGGGCACATATCCACATTGTGGGTTCAGTCCCTGGTCAGGGAGCATGCGGGAGGCAACTGATTGATGTTTCTCTCTCTCTTTTTCTCTCTCTCTCAGCATGTCCTTGGGTGAAGATTTTTAAAAAGATATCTTTAAGTAGATCTATGTAAAATTACTGAACAAACTTTCCTTTTCCAGAAAATCCTACTGTAGTAGCATCTTGTACCCCATGAGAAATGTTTGATGGCATGCGCCAACAGGGAGATAACACATGCATTGATATTGCTAAGGAGTATCCATGTGATAGAAAACTATCTGGAGGAACAATTGCCCTTAGTTAAAATCTTGGGATGCAAGAATGGAAAGTGTCTCTACCTTTCACTCAACTAAAGCTCATCTGGAAAACAGTAATGCAGAAAAACTATCCATTTTGCCTAGACAAATTCAGATATCAGCCGGTGTTCATCCTTCTAGAGCAAGTGGCTATATTTAGGAATACAGAGGACAGAGGAACTTGCTTATAAGAAATATAAATCCCCGACCCGGAAACATTTTTGATGGAAGAAAAGAGGAAATGTGACAACTGCTATAAACCATATTCTCAGCTATTACTTGGAAAGTATCTGATATTTCCCAACTGGGAGCTGGTAAGGAAGATCCTAATTCTTCAAGTGGAGATTCAAATAACAGAACAATCATTAATGACATGGAACTACTGCAAATAATCTAGACCAGTGGTACTCAAAATGTGGCCTCAGACCAGCAGCAGCAGCACCTCCTGGGAGCCTGGTGGACATGCAGTACAGAGTCTAGGACCCCACCTCAGACCTGCTGAATCAGAATCTGCATTTTAATGAGACCCCCTGGTGATTCCCATGCTCCTTAGAGCTTAAGAAGCACTGACCTAGAAAGTGTTCCTAAAATGACTGAATTGCACTTGGAAGGTATATAAGATATGGGGGTGGTTTCACAAAATGGAACTGGTGAGTGAAAGAAAACCCTTCCTTACTAGAAACTATTTCAGAAGATTCAGGATCAGGCCATAACATTAAGAATGCACATTTGGGCCCAGCTGGCATGGCTCAGCGGTTGAGCATTGACTTATGATCCAGGAGGTTCCCGGTCAGGGCATATGCCCAGGTTGTGGGCTCAAGTGCAGGTGGCAGCCGATCAATGACTCTCTCATCATTGATGTTTCTATCTCTCTCTCACTCTCCCTTCCTCTCTCTGGAATTAATAAAGATATATTAAAAAAAGAAAAAAGAATGCACGTTTGAGAATCAGACTGCTTGGTTAGAATCCTGGTTCTGCTTTTCATTAGCCCTGTGACCTTCTGCAAGCCAATCTCTTTATGTTTCTCTTTTCCCATTCACAGCTGGGATAGCACCAGTTACTGTAAAGTTCTTTGTGTATTAAAGCTTTAAGAATTCAGGGAGACTAATCTATGTTTTGAATTTAGCTCAGTGTCTGACACATGTAAAAGCAAATAATTACTATTGTCATTAATATTCTCCTGAACATACGTGATCAACATAGGCTCCAATAATGTTCTCTTTTTGTATGGACACAACATGGTTCTCTTTTGAATATGGAATACAGAGCATTTTAGAGGCCCGCCTTTCCTCCTCTGGCATCTGGAGTTACATTAGTTCACAGTGGAAATGGGAGTGAAGCAATAAGAATGCAAACCCACCTCCTCTCTAATCTGGAGAACAGGCAAACAACTTCGTTTAGTTTACTTTCTGAAGTACACACACCATGTATGTATCATCTCTAACTCAAGTATTTCTCATTTTCCCTGAACTGCATCCAGATATTACAAAGCAGAGTTTTGGTCTGCTCAATTGTGTGCTTACGCCAGGATAGATGTGGCAGTTCAACCTTTTCATGGTGAAAACAAAGTTCTCTGATTATTTTCTTGCTATGGAAAATACAAAGCAATATACCAGTTGTATATGAATGCCCTTTGGTTATAAGTGAGTACATGCAGCATATAAAATCCCCTTTCAGTGATACTAGGACTTGCTGCCTCCTACATGTCACTTCCAATCAAAAAGAGAAGACAGACAAGGTAAGAAAGCCTAGAGATGAGACAGAAGGGACAGAGAGCAGATGTGCCTATGGAAGAGAAATGGATCCCCGGCCCTTCCTTACCTTCCCAGAGCAGGAGGGCCTGCTCCACGCTGCTTTTGGGGGCTGCCAGGTCAAGTGCACTTTTGCCCTGAGCATTTCTGCACTTCAGGTTAGCCCCATAGTCTATCAGCAGGCGGACGACTTCCACACTAGACTGCTTCGCCGCAGCATGGAGGGGGGTGTCCAGCCATTGCCCGTGGTCAACATTGGCCCCTTAACAAAGCAGACGGTCACAGTTCGACATGAAATGTTAAATGTAGAAACACAACGAGCCTAAAACACAGTAGCTGTAGATAAAGACATCTTAAATGCCATGACAATGACAAATATTTGAAAATGTGACGCAATGCCTATTAAGACTGTTTCAAAATATTTTGATGAGAAAGTAAATTAAAATATTTTTAGCCATTTAAAATACTTTCCTTGCTTTCCCATATGAACTTTATGACATACAAAATTAATTCTTTGCAGCTCCTTTTACATAGATTATTTTCTTTTTGGCAGAGGATAAAGCTAAGTTTATTTAGTAATTATATTATTCAGAGCTCACAAAAAAGATTTCTGAACCACTATAGGGGGTAGTATATGATGGCAGATTTTAAAAAAAAGCAAGGAAAATCTTAGAGACAAAAATTCTTATTCAAAGGCTATTACTACAATCTCCACTTTTGTGTCAGTGGCTAAGTTTGGGAAATCTTTAAACAAATAATAGTTTCAAGACATTTTACTTTTCCCTAGACTCTCAGTTTCTGCATATGCCTTTAAAAAAAAAAAATGACTGCCCAAGTCAGGTGTCTCAGTTGGTTGGAGCATCGCCCAGCACACCAAAAGGTTGTGGGCTCCATCCCCGGTTAGGGTGCATACAGAAGGCACCTGATCAATCAATGTTTCTCTCTCACATCAATGTTTCTCTCTCTTCCCCTCTCTCTGAAATCAATAAACATATCCTCCACTGAGGATTAAAAAATTTCTAGCCCAGGCCAGTGTGGCTCAATTGGTTGAGTGTCATCCTGCGCACTGAAAGGTCTCCAGTTGGATTCCTGGTCAGGGCACATACCCAGGTTGTGGGTTCAATCCCTGGTCAGGGTGTGTGCGAGAGGCAACTGATTGATGTTTCTCTCTCATATCAATGTTTCTCTCTCTTCCTCTCCCTTCCTCTTTCTCTCTAAAAATCAATAAAAACATATTTTTAAAAAATTACTAAATAATGTACCAGGATTGATCTTAAGTAGGTAGTCTATGGCAAATGTCTGTTGTTTTTAGTATCCAGCATCTTCCTAGTTAGCACACCTAGACTTCCTCTGGGGAACCATTCCCATGATTCCTAGTTCATGTGTTACCAGTGAAGTCCAACAACTGCAGTGTAGACCAAAATCTAGGGCTAAGCCAATCAGTGTTGTATTGTATTCCCTTGGCCACCATGAGTGGTTCAGGCATGGACATGTGACTCAGAAAGAACCGATGAAATGCAATTGTTTTTTCCCCTAGGACTTAAATGGGAAAGAGACTCTTGCTGTCTCTTGAGACCACCAAGGAGATCCATATACCAAGTAAACGGAGCCAATATCAAAGGAAGCAGAACTAAAAAACACAGATACTCATTCTCTGAAGAAGTTCTGTTTTAAGTATTCAAACCTCAAATGCTGCTATAATTTTGTCCAGCCTGATAAGAATTTCATCTTGGAAGTTCATGGAAAACCAACAAGGTTAATAGATTCTTTTCATGACAAGATTTCTGGAAGTTACCTAATTCTAGAAGTTTCTTCACACAATCTACCCTTTGATGGGTGCAGGCCACATACAGGGGAGTTCCAAGCTGGGGCACTTCTTGGTCAATGTTCACGTTATTTGCCAGCAGAATCTCCATGCATTCTCTATGACCTGGTGGGACACAAGATAACCTCACTCAAGTAAAAAAATATTGAATATCCACAGAATTATAGGATTGCTTATCTGAGATGGGCTTTAGAAATAACAGATTTTTTAAGCAGAAAAAAAATTTTGGAAATCTTAGAAATCTCCAAAATTAAACCATTAGAAAGAGAAGCATGCCCATGCTTTCCCCACTTAATTCCTCTTTGCAGCCTTTGAGGTACCTCCAACTAAACTAAGGGCTCCAAGGAGCACAGCTGAGACCCTTTAGAATGAAGCCACCAGTTTACAAATAGAGGTTACAAGACCCAGAGGGGTAAATGACTCATCCTATTATTACTCTGAAAAGCCAGGGCTCAAATCTAAGAGCCAGCCCTGATTCCTCCATTACAAATTTCTCATTCTCTTCACCCGTGCGTGCAAGGTTGGGTGTATGACTGTACCATGTGGTAAAAGCTCCTTATTTTGGGTTAATCTGGAAGATACCTATAATAATTTAAAATCTTCAAGTATAGAATATATTTAAATGTACTTTCAAATTCAATGACTAATAAGAGCTATGTACAATTACTCTAGAGAGTTTGCCCAATGAACAGACAGATATTGTTAATCTGCAGCATACGAATGATTTGCTCAGAAGCAAATATTTTGGAGGTAGCATTGTGAGCTTGAAATGAATTTGTTCTCTTTAAAGATTTAAATGCTTACTTGAAAGCCCTGGCTAGTGTGGCTCACTTGGTTGGAGCATCATCCCACACACCAAAAGGCAGTGGATTAGATTCCCAGTCAGGGCACATGCCTAGGTTGTGGGTTTGATTTCTGGTCAGGGAGCATGTGGGAGGCAACCAATTAATGTGTCTCATATCGATGTTTCTCTATTCTTTCCTCTGTCTAAAAATCAATAATAAATATATATATATATACACACATATATATAAATGTTTCCGTTTTAAAATCTTATCATTGCTGATTAACTTAACCGAAGTTTTCTTTACAGATAACATAAAAGTAAGCTTTACCTCAAACCTGCTTGATTGATCACAAATTCTGAGTTAAGTATAAATATGCATTAAAACATACAGATAAGGATTCTGTGGATTCAAACTATTTATTTGTTCATATAAGTAAATATTATGCCTGGATGATAACATCAATATGTCAAAGTATTGACCCAGACTCACCCAGCTTGTTCACAGAGGTTTAAAGCTGTTAAGAATCCAGAAATACTATCTAATCAATACCTAAAACTGTATGGCAAATGTATCTAATAAACATTGTTGAATAATTTCTGTCCTTTTTATGCAGAAGAAACTGAGCCCAGTTTGAGTTAAATTTAAGTATTCTCAGGAAGTTTTAAAAAAATGAATACAGTATATAAAAGTCAAATGATTAGCACTACTGTAACAATATCTAAAATAGTGAATTTGCTATTCATCTGTCCATTCTGTGGGCACTGGTCCCTAACATGCTTTTATGACACATGAATTCATGTGTTTATAATAAACGTGTATA